TGTGATCGGAAGATCGCTGGTTCAACTCCCAGTACCAGCAACATCAAAATGTGGGTGCCACACCTGCCTCCACCCTCATTTGCCCCACTCTGGACCATTGAGCAAGGCCCTTAATCCCCCCATCTGCTCCCCTGGGTGCCCTAGATGGCAGCTCTCTGCTCCACACTGAGGCTGTGGTAGCTCGGTGGTCTGTGGTTGCATCAGGAAGGGCATCCAGTGTAAAAATAATCAAGTCTTCGTGCGACTGTGGCGACCCCTGAAGAATGGAGCAGCCGAAAAAAGAAAAAAAAAATGTCTAATTTTTTAAGCAGATGTTTATTTATAGCTGCAGAAATTGGAGATAGCGGGGAAAAATGTTTAAATTTAGGTCTAACCATGTCTGAGTATTAATTTGTCAGCAATTCCATAAATGATTGTTTTTCTACAAGTATGTGCAGGACTTCAGTAATCAGTGATTTTCAAAACCCCATACTTTTTACAGCGCTGTCATTTGTCTTACCGGTTGTAAATATAGCCTTATAAAAACGTTCATATGAACCAAATCACAAGAACTTGTCACAACTTGTTTCAATGATCTCTGAGTAATAAAGTTCACGTATAGCGTCATATAAAGTGTTTTAATGGCAACAGTGATTAACGTCAGTCTTCATGTCATCGTGTATGTAAACATGTTTATTTATTTGAACATGTCGTTTGAATTGACAATAAAAGTCAAGGATGTCTTTCAGTTTCACTGTTTTAATTTAAACACGTGTTACTGAGGATGTTCGTTACTGAGCTTCACTCCTTGACATGTGTCTCCATGTCTCAGGTGTCAGGATGGAAGTCTGTCGGGTGGCCTTTAACTCAGCACCCCTCCCATGTGTGTGTTTTGTGACAGTACGTGCTAATGCCCATTCTCCCCTGGCCATTTCTCCATCTATTTGAATATTTTTGGGCTGTAACCCAACACTGTGCACCCTCCTCATCCTCAGACCCCCCAACACTTCATCCTGTTTTACTGGACACACCTGATCCAACAAAAAAATGAACAAAAGGACGAAATCAGTGAGCTCATCACATGAAAACATAAAAAAAACAGATAACAAAACAACAACTAAGTGATTTAAATGTATATTTTACATAACGATATTCTATCATTTGTTTGTTTTTACTACGCAAGCACATCAAAATTGTAATAAAATGGTTTAGAAGACAAATGATTGATATGCAAATAATGCATTTCACTTGTGTTTTCCCCATCAGACACCAGATTTAATAACAATATGTCGACTGAGGTTGAACTTGTCTAAGATTACGTCACTATGATTCATAAATGATGGAATAAAATATAATTTTAACGTGCACTGATTTCATATTGGAACACAAACTGAAGAGGAAACATTCTGGTGATGCTTTTTGAATGTTATTATATCATTAATAAAAAAAAATCATCCTCTTCACTGTATGAAGAAGGAATTTCTGTCTCAGTCGTCTTGTTCCCAGTTGGAACCAACAAACTGGACTTTCCTTCTAACTGTTCACTGAATCTAACGTTGAGGTCGGTGCAGATCTTCTGGAGGGAGTGGTGTTCCAACCCAGACCTGACTGCATGACAAGATAAGTGTTTAAATTCCAGTGGCTTCATTCAAACCGTGCACGGCTTTAATTAAAGTCTCAGCTGCCTGCAGCTCTCGTCTTAACAGTTGTCATTAATTGTTCTCTTCACCTGAAGTGTGAAGAACACGTGAGGTCTTGTTCTTTCTGAAAAAAAAAAACCCCGCTACATCACTGTTACGTAATCACCGCCGTGTTTTTCCATAAACAACCTGGAATATGGGATTTTATTACATTTCTCTGGTTCCATTTGGGGTCTGTCTCCAACTTGGAGCAGCGCTTTATAAACTCCACGACTGAGGGAGGCTCATGTTTAAGCCCAAAGCCGAGAACCCTCCCAGTTCTGCGGCTGCTGCTATAAAAGTCTGACCTCTGACCTCCCTGAAGGGGGTCTAAGTGAAAGGAGAATTTCCCCACTGGGGCCAATAATGTGTCACGTTCTCAGCAGCATCACTGACGTTTGTAACATCACTGAGCAAAATGCCCCCCAAAACAAATAAACTCTTAAATCCCTAAACTTGTGACAAGATTTCTATATTTAATGAGCGGAAAGAAATTATCTTAATTTCTGCCTTTTTTTTTTTAGATGCAAAATGTTTAATATTTTATGTGTTTTAACAGCAATTTCTTCATCATCTCATACTTTTAATCAGTTTTACTCCATAAACAGCAGTTTATTTTAAACTTTAAAACAAATTCAGTTTAAAATAATATCTATTTTATGCCATGTTGATTGTAATTGCTTTATTAATAAAGTCAATTTTCTTCTGCTTTATCTCCAAAGTTAAACATCAGCAACCCAGTGTTTGAAACATTGTTCTGTTTTAGTTGTGCTAATCATCATTCTTGTGCAATTATTGGTTTTTAAATACATTTTTTAAATTATAACCATTCTAATTTTACCATGCTATTTGGAAAATTGCATGTTTGGAAACAGTTTTCACTTGAGAGTTATGTCCTAAACCTGAACATGAATTGTAGTTTTGTGATTTTTGTTATGTTCATTAAAAATAATAAAAAAGGGGGATGAATTGTTGAAAACCTCAACAAACTGCTTTGAGAGAATCTTCTGAACTCTCCACACTTCCTTTCTTTCTTCAATGATTCAACTGGTTGACATGACTTTTTGACCGAATATGTTGAACCACAACATCCTCAGAGTGTGGCCAGAGATTAAACCAACCTGAAAAAAAAAAAAAAACACGACTAGTTCACACCTGTCCCAATTGCTCACGTGCTTTTGGGCTGTTCTTCTCAGAAAGCAGCTTTAATCACTATTAAACGCAGCTCGCCCCACTGTTGGGCCCTTTTCCTCAGTGTTGGTGTGCAAAAAAACAACAACTTATTTATCCGAGCAGGGCGCGCTGGTGCCAGGACACATTTGAAGCAGAGCAGAGAAAACCTGCAAGGACAGGGACACGCCAGCTCTTTGTGGGGTCACATGTTGCTCATCTCTCCTCCTTACAATCCGCTGTCAGGCCGTAATTGTGAGCAGGTTCAAATCCTTGTTCATTCAACTCTGAGCCGCGCGCGTAATTGACGCAGCTGCGTCAGCACGCGGTGCCTGCAGGCGGAGGCGCACGTCTCTTTACACTGTTTATATTCATGGGCCTGCATGGAGGTGCGCTAAAGAACAAGATGCGTGCTCCACACTAAAGAACACGGATCTGTGAAGGTGATGCTGAATCGACCATTATTCAAAAACTGCAGCCGCAGAAGGAGCTCAGGCTGTTCAAATAAAGTGTCTTCTTTCAGCGCCACTTCCCATTCCTGTTTTTTTTTTTTTTTTTTTTCAATAAATTTTTTTTTTTTTTTTTTTTTTTTGAGCCGAGCGCGGAAAGATGAGGTGTCCTCAACATCAGGACTCAGCCACATGACTTCTGTTGCTTTTACTAAGTGCTGGACTGAGAGACTCTCTCGTTGTGTCATTTCAATACAGTCACCTCGAGGGAACTTGAACCTGCAGCAAATCTATTAGAAAATCACGTTTTGAAGTGTTTTCCAATAACTTTTAAAACCTCTACATTTAAAGACAAGATTCCTTCACTCATCTCCAGACTTCTCTGCTCCATTGGACCCAGTTCTGTCCATTTACGCATGCAGGCGTGGTTTGTGTAGAAAGTTTTCCTCTTTCAAGTTTTTCCGTTCTTGTAATCTCGGAACATGATGTCTGCATGACCGCACACACACAAAACACACTCTCTGAGAGTGTGTTGAAGGGATATGTTATAGCTCCAGAGTTTTAGAAGATACTATTTTTTAATTATTATTATTATTTGTAGTGTTTGACCGATTTGTTTTCGTTTTTTTTTTCTTTTTTTTTTTTTTTTTTTTTTTTGTTTCAAGTTTGATCCATTTATCCTCAAATTGAAACGAAAATAAATTTTCTTCAGGAAGCAAACTGTGCGGGATATAGTTTACATTTATGATCTCCTAACTGTCACTCAAGTTGAAAGTCATAATAATAATAATAATCATAATAATAATCATAATTTATAAACACATCAATGATCTCCTGATGCATGTTCAATAATCCAGGGAGATAAATCTAAAAAAAAGTTCAGATTAAAAGAAAAAAGGAAACGTTTCTACATTTTTCTTTCTTTTGTTCTTTTTGAACCCATACACTTAACTTTTAGACATCACAAGAACATTTAAAATAAAATAAAAAAATCCTCAGTTTTAATCCACTGCTGTTTTATTTATTTATTATTATTATTATTATTATTTATAAATATGAAAATAGTCTTCTTGATTTACCGTTCACTTTACATGCAGACTATTTCCACAAGAAAATGTAAAAACTAATAATAATAATAATAATAATAATAATAATAATAATAATAATATACGGAGGTTAGAATAACCCTGCTCCAAAACAAACAAACAAACAAACAAACAAAAAGACTGCTTATGGCTCTCAGTTTAAAGTTATTAAAAACAGAAGGTCGGATGAGTTCAATAACTAATAGATACAAGAATTAAGACACTTTATTGTTTTTATCAATATAACGTGTAGGTACATTCCTGTAAAATACATCTTTCTTTCTTTCTTTCTTTCTTTCTTTCTTTCTTTCTTTCTTTCT